CAAATACCTGGCGAGGGTGCGGAGTGTAAGAGAGAGAGAGAGAGAGAGGGGGGGGGAGAGGGAGAGGGAGAGGGAGAGAGAGAACGAGAATGAGGGTGAGCGAGTCCGTTCACCCCCTCTCGTACCAACGGCGCGCAAGGATGACCAAACGGCCGAACCAATGAGAGTTCGGTTCGCCCCACCGGGGTAGCCGCGTGCGAAAAAGCGCGGGAATTTTTCGATCGTCCGATCGCTCAATAATGGAACCGAAGTTACGTGCCGCCACCGTCGCAAGCGCACACGATCGCGCGAGCGCGTGAACGCGGTCGTATGTATATTCCACCTAAGGACACACGCAACACACACACACACACACACACACACACAAGCACGTGTGTATGCACATGAGCGTCCGTGAGCGTATGCGACGATCGGGATGCACCCCTGGAGAGAGAAAGAGAGAAATAGAGAGGGCAAGAGAGAGGGAGAGAAGGACAGATAGAGTTCGTATGTATAGCAGGCCAGAGGCTATACCAAAGATTATCCCTTCGGCAGCGAGCAAAACTCAATTTCCCGGCCAAAATCTAATGATCGACCGCCCTACGCGCCAGGAACTAATCGGTTTTCCCGGAGCCGCTAACTAGGCGCATGTGTTGGCTGCGAAAATCGCCGCTCGAAAAGCAGCGCAGATAGAATGGCGTAGAACAATCTCAAAGGACTATACGGAATTGCGATTGTTATATGCTGCGAATGCCCCTAATCTAGGCGTCCATTTGGTAACATCTATGACCTAATGATCCGTCTATGAGGATAATTCGCGCAATGAAAGACGCCGATGCGTAATAGCCACGTTACCGATAACACATCGGTATTCTCCCTCGAGCGACTACGTAGCTATACCTACTCACATTGGGTGTAATTTCTAAAGGGATTCTCGCGGAATGGAGCACGCGGTTTCGCAGCATCCATTCGGAAGGATCGCACGAAGTGCGTTGAAAAGGAGACTAACCCATCGAGAGGGCGTCGCCGCAACACGGTGATAGCGGTGCTTGAAAAAAGGAGCACGTTCTACCGAAGAAATTGACCGGACAATTTTAAAGCCCACTTAATACTGCGAAAAATTGCCGTTTCGTCGGCGCATGAATAAAAATTAAGGCTTCTGGCTCTCTCTCTCTCTCTCTCTCTCTCTCTCTCTCTCTCTCGACGACTACGTTTCCTACCATCCCTGTCCTTCTGCGCCCGGAACAGTTTGAAAACGAGCCTGCATATCCGTATTTACGAGGTGCCACGGGTAAAATGACGAAAAAGGACGAACGCTCCCAGATTCAAATCCTGAAAGTCTTCCTTTCGTCCGACGCACTCTCACTTCCGCCAACCTCGCCTCCTCGGCCTTCTGGCGGCAGCCAGACCTGTACCGGGTCCGCACGTTTTTCCGTCCCTCTCGCACTTTTAATTCGCTAATTTCGCCGGTTAAGAATTCATGCGGTGGAATGCCTCTCGGCGGACGTCTCGAGAAAAATCAAAGCGATGAGAAAACGGCGCAAGGGGGGGTCCCGGGGGTCGAGAGAGCACTGCGGAAAAGAGCGACGTCGGTGGTCCCTTTATCACAAATGGCACAGAATGAAAGATTAAACAACGGCACGGCGACGCTTTGAGCACGAGAAATAAAAATTACGAGCGAGATGACGACGCAAGGAGGAAACGCGAGAGGACGACAAGAGCTCGTTACGAAACGAGCTTTTGCCGAAAAATATTCTTTTTCCACCGGCCACATACCGCGGATTCGCGATAAAATTATCGATGGGATCTTTGCATTTCGACAATATTTTAAATCCGGAAGTTAATTAATTTTCGTTGATTAATATCGCAAGCTAATCAGCCGACCTACAGCCTCGCTATGAATGTTTTAACAGAACGAGCGTTAGTTCTAATATCAGCCCCGCGTTCAACGCAGCATACTCGTAAATTACTCGTACGCCAGAATTCATGCATTCATGCAATTTTGCGAGCGATGTAACCGGCCCGTGTTTAGTAATTAACA